CATTGTAGACACTGTAGCTTTGGCCAGTCATTTCCATTTCAAACACAGGTGCAGGAAGATCCTCCAGTTTCTTCTCTTCCTGGCACTGCCTATTGGACATTTCTTGTAGTTCTGATTTTGAGAGTGAACAAATGATTGTTCCCAAATGTCTTGCAGAAATCCATCTTTGCAGCCTGAATGAAGTTTGATGGTTTGAAGAAAATCCTTGAAACCTACAACTGCTCTTGAATGAACACTGAAGGAAAGAGTCCCATGGAACATCTGGAGATCCCAACTGATTTGACAGCCTGAGAGCACAAAATCAATCTGTGCAATCATGATCCACACCTTTCCAAATAATGCAGTCTGCTTGTTTTCAGGATCTGCCACAAATATTACACTTCTAAGCCACAAAACTGTCCTTGTTTCTCCATAGATGAGAAATGTAGTTGTGTTGCTATTCCTCAAATTAGTGGAAATACTTGAGACTATGTGATAAAGTTCTATATAGTGTTCTAAGTGAATTAGTTGTGAAAGACTTTGTATGAACAATGAACAGATTCCATTTTGTGAAAGTATGGGCTGCATTTTCTGTATGAAACTTTCTCTGTTATTGTTATCCATAGTAAAAATCCCAATCCATGTCCATCTAAAATAATGAAGCAGTTGAATAATCCCAACATATTGATGGTCCTCTTTTGGGACCATGAAATAAAGTGAAGATCGCTTTCTAGTTGGAAACTCCTCTTGGGCTAATGAGCCATATGTCAGCTAAAAGAAAACAGAGTAATATTTTGTTGTTAGCTCAAATCTGATCTTTCTGTATCTAGTTTTTCTGTAAATATATGAAAAGAAGGAATTTTTCCTCTTTTTCTTTTGAAATATTAATATAGAATAGAATTTTTATGAATTATTTCAAACAAATTATAATAGTTTATTTGATTGAACAGGACCATGGTGTGCTACATTCTAATCTTCCCTCTGGTATAGAATGATTCTAGATAATTACTTGTATGATTGGCACTGTAGCTTAATAAAACAATGCTAAGTATTATACCTTAAGATCTGTATAATGTCTCAATACAAATCTAATATCGGATTCTCAGTAATTATACCATAACAACAAAGTACAGAATTTTTCTGCTCATCTCCTCCATACTGACCTGTGGAATCTTGTAGAATCCTACAACTTCAGCTATATTAGATGATGTATCAGAATCTAACCTCCAATGATAGCCATCAAGGTTCTTCTCCTATTACATTTGTAGTTAAGGACAAATACTTGGGATTTGTAAAGGAGGTCCAGAGTGGTGAGATACATCATCCTTTGATTGTAGTAATTGTCACAGATGTGGAACCCAACAGTAACATTAGGTAAGATCTGGGGGTCTTCACTGATCTCCTTCACAGCAAAGACCAAGGCAAGGATGTGCTGGTAGAATTTGGTTATTACACTGAAAATAGATTAAGGACACCTTTTCAAAATAATAATAACTTTGCAAATTATTTTAGTATGGTACTGTATGTAATGACTACTGGAAAGCCTGTTTCTGACTTAAGTATTAAATAATTTTGTAATCACTCCAAACATGTTTTGCACACAATCTTTTTCCTTTATATTTTTCTAGAAAATTGCTCATCATAAGGCATACTACACCATGTGCACAATTGCTAGGCCAGTGAGTATTTTGACCATATCATCATTTTTATTTATATTTTCCACCTCCAAACTGTATAAACTTGAATAATTATTTGGCATAAGCATATCAGGTGATGTGTATTTGTGTAATGAGGGAATGTGTGACCTAAGGAGATCAACACCCTATATCAAGGTGTACACAATTATTAGGCAGCTTCTTTTCCTCAGGCAAAATGGGCTAAAAACAGATTTAACTGACTCTGAAAAGTTAAAAAAAATGTAAATAGTCTTTCAGAAGGATGCAACACTATTGAAATTGTTAAGATATTGCTCACAGAACCATCAAATGTTTTGTTGTAAATAGTCAACAGGGTCGCAAGAAATGTGTTGAGAAAAAAAGATGCACATTAACTGCCAAAGATATGAGAAAAAATCAAATGTGAAATTACCAGAAATCCATTATCCTCCAGTGCTGTCATATGTCAGAACTTCAAACTACCTGAAGTGCCCAATAGTACAAGGTATTCAGTGCTCAGAGATGTGGCCAAAGTAAGGAAGGCTGAAACCCGACCACCACTGAACAAGACACATAAATTGAAATGGGCCAACAAATATCTGAAGGCAAATTTTTCAAAGATTCTATGGGCTGATGAGATGAGAGTGATGGACCAGATGGATGGGCCTGTGGCTGGATCAGTAAAGGGCACAGAGCTCCACTTTGATTCAGACACCAGCAAGGTGGAGAAGGGGTACTGGTATTGGCTGGTATCAGTAAAGATGAGTTGGTTGGACCTTTCCAGGTTGAAGATGGACTCAAAATCAACTCTCAAACCTACTGCCAGTTTTTAGAAGACACTTTCTTCAAGCAGCGGTATAGGAAAAAGTCTGCATCTTTCAAAACCAGCATGATTTTTTTTTTTTTTGCAGGACAATGCTCCATGACATGCATCAAAATACTCCACTGTGTGGCTAGCCAGTAAAGGCCTTAAAGATGAAAGAATAATGATATGTCCTCCCTTCCTCACCTGACCTAAATCCTATTGAGAAATTGTGAGCCCTTTTTAAATGGGAGATTTATGGTAAAAGAAAACAGTACAACTTTCTGAAGAATGCCTGGGAGACTGTGGTTGCTGCTGCACAAAAAGTTGATTATCAACAGATCAAGAAACTGTCCGACTCCATGAATGGAAGGCTTATGACTTTTATTGAAAAGAAGGGTGACTGTGTTGGTCACTGATTTTTTTTTTTGAACTGTCAATATTTGTAAATTTTGAGTTGCTTGTTTATTATTCCCACTTTAGCAGATGAAAATAAACAATTGAGATGGGAAAATTTTCATTTTTCATTTAGTTGCATAATAATTCTGCACATTAATAGTTGCCCAATAATTCTGCACATGTAGATATTCTCCTAAGAAGTCATAACCACACTTTTACTTTTAAATATTCAGTTTTGAGGTTTATTAACTTTAGGAATTGACCTTGAGCACTGTAGTTCAATAATAAAATTAATCCTCAAAAATACAGCTTGCTTAATAATTGTGCACACAGTGTATGTTAATTTCTGAAGTTTAAACTTTAGCATTCAGTTTAACCTAGAATGCTGTGGCTTGTTTTCTCTGTTGACTTGGTTTTCTAGGAACTTTACTGAATTAGAAATAATTATAGATTAAGGGTGAAGTTCTTTCTAAACCCAGAATTCGAGACTCAAGCATTGTATGATAGAGAGATGACAGGGGGATATTATTAGACACATAGGTTTGTCCAATACTATGAATGCCACATGTATAAAAGCACCTTTTTTATTTTATTCCACTAAAACTCTCATGGAGACAGAAAGCTTTGCTTGTCACCCAAGAAAATTTTATGAGCCACACATAATGTTCTTGGAGAATTGGTTAATTTTGGAAGAGACAATGAAAGTAAGCTAAATTATCATTTGAACTATCTCTTATTGTGCAAGCTATGGTGATTAATTAAATAACTACTGCCAACACCTATCTCAAATGATCTAAGCCCCAGAGCTCATTGTCACAGAATTGCCAAAAAGGCTTTAAGAGTTATTAACCTTATTTTGTGAAGCTTCTTCTCTGGTAACATTGAACTGCAAACCAGAGTATTGAACATTGAACATTGAACTGCAAACTTTCACCAGAGCAGTTCTCGAATATACCTCATTCTCCTGGAACCCACACTGTATATTGGACATTAACACAATTGAGCAGATTCAGAGGTATTTTTTGAGAAAAGTACTCAACTCCTCCACTTACAATTGAATTTCTTATGCCTCCAGGTTCGAAATTTTGGGCCTGGACAATCTGGAAATATGCCATCTATGGTCTGATCTAAGTGTAATTCACAAAATTGTCTGCTTTGATGGCTTGCCTGTCAATGACTTCTTCAGCTTCAACCACAATAATACATGGGCAAATAACCGATACAAACTTAAGGTAAACCATACCAAACTCATTTGCAGAAAATACAACTTCAGCAACAGAGTGGTCAATGCCTGGAATGCCCTACCCAACTCCATTGTTGAAGACTTAAACTCTCAAAACCTCAAACTGTCTACCATGGACGTCACCCCATTCCTAAGAGGGAAAGGGGGCGTGCATAAGCACACCAGTGTGCCTACCGTCGCTGTCTTACTGTCCCCATTTATCTGTATTTAATTCCTTTGTTCATGTTTATGTTCATACTGATACTTGTCATCTTATACATGTTTGACGAACAAGTATCTAAACCATAATCTATATCATGGCTTCTTAATTAGCAGAATAAAAGTATACATATATTTTCTGAGGTTCTCGCGGGTATTTGTATGTGGATCTTTGGTTATTCGGGTTTTCTCCCACGTAAGATTGGAAGTATCTAGGCAACGTTTCAATGAAGTCTCATTCATCATCTTCAGGCTTGTGTCTTCGGCTCTGTGCTTCTCAGAGTGTTGTGAGCTTGCAGCTGCTTCTTCCTTTTAACTGCTAGTGGGTGTGTGTGGTATATTTCCTAAGAGTCTGTAGAGGGCATGCATAAGCCACCAACATGCCTACCATCCCTGTCCTATTTTTTCTTTTATTTTTCTTATATGTACCCATTTCATGTATTCATGTACCCATTTCATGAATGTATATAATTATATCTATTATCTCATAAGGATTTCATTAAAGAATCTTGGGAAATGATAATAGCACAGCAACATGAACACTTCTTTGAGAATGAGCAATAATAATGGATCTTAATAATCATAAATAGCATACACAAATTGTTCTTTGACAGAAATAAAAAACTTCTATGTTCCTATAATTTTATATATGTTTCCTATTGACAGAATTCTTTTTATTTCTTTTTAAAGAACTTTCTCTGAGCCAGAAATATCACATTGTGTACTAATTCCTCTTTGTGAGTTGCTTCCTCTGGTTAAGGTCAGGCCGCAAAACAAGGATGTAACATTTTGGAAGGAATATGCATCCCAGTAATGCAGTGCTGGAGGCCAAGATGGAGAAGACCTCCACAGCTACCATGGCTTTTCCTTTTGTGCTTAGATAGGCTGGAAAGAAAAAGATCCAAACACTACAAAAGGCCAACATGCTGAAGGTGATGAACTTGGCTTCATTAAAGCTGTCAGGTAATTTACGGGCAAGGAAAGCCACAATAAAGCTGGTGATGGCCAAAATACCCATGTAGCCCAAGACACAGTAGAAGAAGAAAGCTGACCCCTCATTGCACTGTAGAATCATTTTTTGGAGCTCTGAGTACATGTCCAATTCAGGGAATGGGGGAAATGTCAACAACCAAAGAATACAAATCAATACTTGTATAAGGAAGGAGGAAAGGACAATAGAAAATGCCAATCTTTTCCCCACCCACTTCCTCATCTGAGATCCCGGTTTAGTAGCCATGAAAGCCACAACCACAGTGATAGTTTTAGCCAGTACACTAGAAATGGCCACAGAGAAGATGATGCCAAACATTGATTGTCGGAGAAGACAAGTCACTTTGCCAGGCTGGCTTAGAAAGAGCAAAGAGGAAAGAAAACAGAACATAAGAGAGACAAGGAGGGTGTAGGTAATGGAGCGGTTGTTGGCTTTGACAATAGGAGTATTCCTGTGCTGAATAAATGTTCCAAGTACCCATGAAGTTAACAAGAAGAAACAAAGAGCTGCTGAGGCTAAACCAATTCCTAAGGTTTCTTCAAAAGTTAAAAAGACCAACAGTTTCAAGATACATCCTTTCTTTTCTTTATTGGGATAATGATCTTCTGAACATTCAAAACAGTCATCCATATCTGGAAGAAAAAACAAGGATTCTTTTTCATTTAAACAATCCATATTAATGAAAATTACCTTATTAATTTTATGCATCCAACTAGTTTATTAAAGTTTGCTTAGGTCTAATGTAAAATGGTAGAATTCCTATCCTACCATTTTGATTTGAAATCTTTCCTTCAGGGCATGGAATACAGTCATAGCAGCAGAACTGATCCCCCTCAATCCCTTTCTTCCAGGATCCAGGGAGACAAGGGTCATTACATAGAGAGAGTGGAAGAACCTGGTGATAAGCATAAAAGTATTTGAAACTGGAGATATTTAAAACAGTTTGTAATTTTTCTTTTTTAGGCAGGGAAATTATTTTTGATTTCCAAAAGATACTGAATTGATCAATTTCATCAAAAGCTTAAAAAGATGTAGAAACTATAATTATGTAGAAAGGGTCTTGTCTGAAGGAGAGGGGGAGCAAATAATGTCACATGGTGACAACGTCATGGAAAAAATGGCCACTCTTCTGAAAATACAAACCAAATATGCAAATATGGTTTTTATATTACAATGTAATTTCCATTTAATGAGTACTTGATCGTCAACAGCATTTGAAAAGAATATTAAAAAACCCAGAACTTAAATTTCTAAGCAGACTGCGTTCAATATGGGATCATAATAGATTAAGTCATGGTTGATTCACTAATTTGAAACCTGGTTAAAAGCTGGATTCCAGACAATCACATCTTCTTCAATGAATAATTCCTTCCCTTTTGGAGCCCGTAGATCTATCTTTCCAACTCTAACTCTCTGAAAGGATCTATTTGGAAAAGTGATGAAGTTGGTGATGTTGAATCCACCTGTTGCTTCTCCTTTCTCATTCAGGCTCAATCTCTCCCCAGCTGAATTGTTAAAAGAAATGCCTTGAAGAAATGAATGGAGCTACTCGAAGGGAAATAGAAGAGAGAGGCAATTAAAGGCTATTAATCAAGAAGAGGACATCATGTTCAATTTTTGTTCACTTATTCCTTCCATTCCAAAAACAGTTATTAAATATGTATACTTGGAAATTTATAATTGATAGTGCATGGAAATATATGTGTGTATTCTTTTATTAATTTGATACTGTTTTAAGAAAAGGTGAGAATGAATAGAAGCAGAATGAATATAGGCTTTTGGAACTACACAACTTCATCCAATTATGTTTTAGGTCTACTACTTAAACAACTAATTTGGAATAGATCATATCTAATCTTTTCTCATAGGTACAAAGCTATTTGAAAGTGTGAAGTCTCGCTAATTTCATTTAGCCAGATTTCATAATCTGAAATTCAAGCATTCTTTGATAGATAGATTTTATTTTATTTATTTTATTTGGTTTGTCAATTGCTTACAAGTTAATAGGTATAAGTAAAAACTTAGTTATGAATACATGGATACATATAAGAAAAATAAAAGAAACAATAGGACAGGGATGGTAGGCACATTGGTATGCTTATGCACGTCCCCTACAGACCTCTTAGGAAAGGGCTGAGGTCAATAGTAGAAATTCTAAGGTTAAAGTTTTTGGGGTATGGGGAAGAAACCACAGAGTCAGGTAGAGTATTCCAGACATTGATCACTCTGTTGCTGAAGTCGTATTTCCTTCAATCATGTTCGGTGCGATTAACCTTGAGTTTGTAATTATTGTTTCCTCTTGTATTGTTATGGTTGAAGCTGAAGTATTCATTGACAGGTAGGACATTGTAATGTATGATTTTATATACTATACTTAGATCGGACCGAAGGAGGCGTAGTTCTAGGTTTTCTAGGTCTAGAATTTCAAGACTTGTGGCATAAGGTATTCTGCAATGAGTAAAGGAGTAGAGAACTCTTCTTATGAAATATTTCTGGATTTTTGCAACTGTGTTAATATCAGATACATAATGTGGGTTCCAGATGGATGAGCTGTATTCGAGTATTGGTCTAGCAAATGTGTTGTATGCTCTAGTTAGTAGTGTGATATTTCCAGAGAAAAAGCTATGTATGATTAGGTTAACAACTCTTAATGCCTTTTTGGCTATGTAGTTACAGTGAGCTCTAGCACTTAGATCACTAGAGATGAGTACTCCAAGATCCTTGACAGAGTTGGATAATCATCAAGGTCTTGACTAGTCAGGCTTTTTTATTTTCTGATTTTTTTTGCCAATATGCAAGACAGAGCATTTATTTTTTGAGATTTGAAGTTGCCATTTGTTTGACCATTCTGATACATAGTCAAGGTCTTTTTGAAGGGTAGCAGTATTGTCTGTGGTGTTGAATAGCTTTACATCATCAGCAAAGAGAACACAGTTGCTCTTGATATGATCACAGAGGTCATTTATGTAGAGTATAAAGAGAGTTGGTACTAGAACACTGCCTTGGGGGAGACCACTGTTGACAGGTACAGAATTTGATAGGACGCTCCCAATTTTGTTGTCTGTTTGATAGGAATACTACTATCCAGTTATGCAGGTGTCCAGAGATACCATAAAATTTTAGTTTTAGGAGTAATTTGTCATGTACCACTGAATCAAAGGCTTTACAGAAGTCTATGCACATTGCATCTATTGCTTTGCCCTGATAGAGTTGTGTAGTCCATATGTTTTTGCAGTGTAAGGGTTACAGATTGCAGGATGGTTTTTTTCTGAAACCAAATTGTTTATTAGAGAGCAGGTTGTTTGTCTCTAAGTGGAGGATGATGGATTGATTAATTATTGATTCCATGACTTTACAGGTGATGCAGCATAAAGAGATGGGTCTGTAATTTTCAACTAGGCTAGGGTCTCCCTTTTTGAAGATGGGGATGACCATGGTTTGTAATCTCCAGGAGCTGGAGATTATTGCAAACCTGTAAAAAGGATTGCCTTTATTTTAGTTGTCTAAAATTCTGATAGAGACAGGAATCTTAGCTTGTTACCCATGAAAATTTCACGTGCCACAAACTTCTTAGATAATTGATTATTTTTGGAGCAGACAATGATTTACTAAATAACTCATGTGAACATCTAAGCCATAATTTACAGAGTAGCTTCTTGATGACCAGAATAACAACAGAAACCATTTTTCCTGTATGTATTTTAGTCAATATAACAGAGTCAGAAGGGACTTGAGAATTTTCTTGTCAAACACCCTGCTCAAGGTGGACAAATGCCTCTCCTTCTCTTTGTAAATGTCTCCTTAAAATCTCAAAACAACTCTTTCCACTAATTGTTAACTGTTCTCACAATTAGGAAATTCTTCCTTTTTTCTCCTTTGTTTCTCATACTTCATTCCATATGCAGAAAATATTAAGACTTTCCACAATGGCTTCAAAATGTAATGCTACATCAAACTGCTTACTGAAATAAAAGAAGTGTCCGATGCAAAGGGAATACCTGCCAAGCTTGGATATATGGAAGATCAGTTTTTTTACCAATCATAGTTTTTTTCCTATGGCACCATAATGTGTACAGAGCCTGCAAAGAATGAGCCACAGCATAAACAGCATTGTAGACACTGTAGCTTTGGCCAGTCATTTCCATTTCAAATATAGGTGCAGGAAGATCCTCCAACTTCATTTCCCCAGTGCATTTCCTACTGTATGTTTCTTTTAACTCTGATTTTGGAAATGAACACTCAAATGATTGTTCCCAAACATCTTGTAAAAAACCATCTTGGGAGACTGAAAGAGGGTTTATGGTCTGAATAAATTCCTTGAAACCTGCAACTTCTTTTGAATGAACATTTAAAGAAATAGCTCCATAGAACATGTGGAGATCCCAATTTATTTGTGCACTTGATAATATAAAATCAATCTGTGCAGTTATGATCCACACCTTTCTAAATAATGCTGTTTCCTTGCTTTCGGGATCAACCAGAAATGTGAGACTTCTCAGCCATATAATTGCTAATGATTCTCCGTAGACAAGAAATGCACTGGCTTTGCTATTCATCAAATTAATGGAAATCATTGAGATTATTTGAAAAACTTCTGGGAAATCTTCAAAGTGGACCAGTTGTAAAAGCCTTTCTATAAATGCTAAACAGATTCCGTTCTGTGAAAGTAAGGGGTGCATTTTCTCTAAGAATTTTTCTCCATTGTTGTTATCAACAGCAAAAATCCCAATCCATGTCCATCTGAAATGGTGAAGCAGTTGAATAATCCCAGTGCATTGATGGTCCTCCTTGGGAATCATGAAATAAATTGAAGAGAGCTTACTGATCTGAAATTCCTCTTGGGCTAATGAGCCATATGTCAGCTAAAAGAAAGTAGAGTAGGATTATGTTAAATTATTAAATCTAATCTAATAATTTAGTCTAGTTTTCTTATAAAACATATCCAAAGAACAAAGTGTTTCTATAAATCTTCTAAATATAAATAGAGGAAGGAATTTCTTGGCTTTCCTTTAAACACATAGAAGAGAAATGTATTAAATAGGGGAAAGTGTACTGCTTTCAAATCTTCCCACAAGTATGGAATGTCTCCAGATATTCATTTCCAGTTACTTGTATTGTAGTTTCAGCATGAGTGTTATGGTAAGTAGTTGATCTTAAGTCATGAAGTACACCTTAAGACAAACCTAAGCTTAATTTTTATGCTCATTAAATAGTCCATAACAATAACAACAATATATATCTTTGATTGTTCGGGTTTTCTCCCGCGTAAGATTCGAAGTATCTAGGCAACGTTTCAATGAAGTCTCATTCATCATCTTCAGG